GTGTTCGGCTCGTTCGTTAAGAAACGAACACGAGCTTATTTCAAACAAACTAAATTTTAAACGAACCGAACACGAACACAAGCTTTGTTCGTTCGTGTTCGGTTCGTTTACACCCCTAGGCATGGGCTGTGAGGTGTGGCAAGAAATTCAATTATTTGCTTTAGGACTTCAAATTGGAAAGAACAGATGATGATTTTTGGCTTGCAAAGGAAGATGAAGAAACTAGGGTTCTTGTGGAATAATTGTTCTTCCTCTTCTTCCTTGCAGGAAATAAAACTGTATTTTATTTCCTCCTTAAGTAGTAGCAGCTCATGAGTAGTTATTAGCACTGACGTTAGATTATGTAAGGCAATGAAACCTTTAAACAAGTTAATCCTAAACTTCTAAAAGTCTTTGATGATTAGAATATATGAGCATAAGATAGGCATTTTCTTTCACTTTAGAACAAAATACAAAGTCTCCTATTATTTATATTTAAAATTGAATCAATCCTGTTTATCATTTAACCTCAGGACAAATATTCTCAAATAGTTTTATTATTGAACTCCAAACATTCTTTGGGATTAAAAGAAATTATATGTTGATTATTTTTATATAAATCGTGCGGGATTATTAGAAGCATTATATTAAGTTAATATATAATTTATGTAATAAAAATGATGAAAAAAATTAATATGAAAATGAAACTTAGAGTATTAAACATTTCATGAATCCTAGGCCAATGAAATTTCCCATAGCATATTTAATTAGAAAATATTAGATAATTCATTAATATTTAAGACTAGAAATAATGTATAAATTAAAGAAATCTTTAGAAGCATTTATTTCTATAATAAGCTTATTGCGATAGTATTGGCAATTCAATGATTTGAATGTATAATTGATTTAGGTTCTTTGACTTAGGGTTTGTGGAGCCTTATATGTTGAAGCAAAAATGATTGAAATTGGATCGAAAGTTCAATAAAATTACAAGTCACCGCATGATTTCCACATAACTGTCGTTCTAAATAATTCTTGCGTCAGCCCCTAAGCTTTCTCATGCAACTAAGAAACCAGAAAAGCAATATTTTGGCAGCATTGCGACAATAAATGGACCACAAGGAATAATCTAAGAGCAGCAAACCCAAACCTGTAGTACTGGATTTGGTGTTAATTCAGGTTTCAGTAACTCCTGGCCATCTGGGGCTAGATCTAGCATTTTGACTAAGTTATCTGATGACTCCTGTTGTAGTTCATTTGGCAGGCGTGATGCAGGTAGATTACTAAATGATGGAAACTGAAACTCTCTCACATCCTCGGCAAAAGGAAGTACATTCAAGTAAAATGAATCTGGCTGCAAAAAACAAGAAATTATGTCCTTCAAATTGCATGAAAAAAATAAAAATAAAATCCTAAACACATAAGAAAAAGGAATTAAAAAATATAGTAGGTCAAAATGGGTGGGGTGAAACCTCACAATATTATCAGAAGAAGAGATATTAGGTGTCAATACTCCAATTATGACATTCCCTTGTCCCTGTCTCCATACACAACGCATAATTGCAACCTTGTTCATTTCTTTCATAGCTCTTGCCAGGGAAGAAACTGCTAGGATTGCTTTTACATTACCCGGTTCAGGAATAAATACATATACATCCTTCATGTAATAATGCCTTCATCAAGCAAAAAGAAGACCATGAAAACCAAAGGTTATTGCTGGCAAATCAAAATACTGATAGATGTGCGGAAAACTGAACAATTTGGAAAAAAAAGAAAAAAAAAAGATATAAACCTGCTAGAAATTGAAATATAAAAAGCTAAATTTCTTAGCATTTGAGGTCTTCACAGAAGAAAGCAGTTCTTACCGCATAATGTTAGAAGCATCAGTAAAACCAAGAAGCTTCACACTTTTTTCCGGTGTAAACTTTACTGCCTCCCATTCAGCCGAGGATATAGGAACAATTTGAGGTCCATATCGATAGCCTTTTATCCTTTGTTCAGGGGGAACAATCCTATCAAAATCTTCCGTGTTTTTGTATTCATAATCAATTTTGAGTTCATGAGTGGCAAATTTATCATTTCCTGGTGCTTTGTCAGAATATTTGTTCAATGTAGGAAATTTCTCCTCTGATGTTTTCTTGTAAACCCAAACCTAGTAGTGGAACAATCATAAAGTACCATTAGTAAAAATATTGCCAAGCAAACCTGATTCCACAGAGGAGTCACTAAACGTACTCTAGTGTACAAGGATGCATGAAAATGTGCATCAAAGTTTCATTTCATGCTAAAAATATAACTATAAAAGAGTTCTGAATATTTACGCTATGCATAACTGCATAAACTGTATTCCAAAGCAGAAATTTATCGAGGAAAATGCCATTTTACTTATTTATAAAGCAAACTACAATTATTCTCTTAGATCTAGGATCCATGTTGAAGTAAGACAACCTTGAAAACTCTAAAAAAGACGCTATAAAATAAGGAAAATAGATAAAGCAAAAAAAAACGAATGTAACAAGATGATCAAAACCTCATGTTTGAAAGGCAGCACACCTCATCAATTTCAAATCCCAAAATAGGTGAAGAAGAAAAAAAATGTTTACATATAAGAGTTTTTTTTATGATATACACTGTGTTGTATGATTCAAAATTCTCATATTTATAAACAAAAAATAACAAACTACTAAAAAAATTGCTAACCACTAACAAATTTCAGATGAACAAGTGAACTGCTAACAAACAAGCTGCTTAAAACCGGCCAATAATTTATTAACATACTTAACAACGTTAACTGAACTAATCTTTACAAAGTAATGACATTTAAAAGATAAAATATCTTTAAAAATATGCAAAATAAAAATCGTTTACACGTAACCATCAGTAAAAGTCAGAGAAGCTTAAGTTCTAACAATATTATAAGCATTTCTATAGTTGAATAAAACAGACCTTCAGCATCCAAAAATAACAACATTCCATCAATATCTATGTAATTAGTTTTGACATCATAATAATGGTTCTATAACATCCACTTGGCACCTTTTCATTAAAACATGTCACATTTTCCAGATACTCAAAAAGAAAGCAACTTAAAACACAATGCAATCCCGGCACTTTGAAATTAGTGATTCAAGACTAAAAAATTATGAGAATAGAAATTCAGACAAGTGAATGAATAGCTTCAAAGCAAATTGATAAGTTTCAATGAAAATATACCATGTAAGCACATAGACTAACATTTCAAAAGCATGTAAATTGAAAATAAAAAAGGAAACAAATTACTTATTTGCCGTTATATAATAAAACAGCTTACATTAATCTAAACAACTAAAGTTCACTAATAATTATCATGTAGGGTACTAGCTTTTATATGAATAGACATATATCTATATTGTGATTCAGTCCTAATGAATAATTTGATGACTAATCCCTACAACGAAGAAAGCTGAAATGAGTTACATAACGAATTACACAACCAATGGAAAGAAGCACGTGGAACAAGAGGCCATGTAAAAGATGGAAGCTGACGAGTGTAGCTAATACCCATACCTCTTAACCATGCATATAAGAAGTTATAAGGATGAAATTTCTTTTAAGGGGGTATATATTAAAAACAAAGTTCTACTAAAAAAAGTTTCCCACATAACGAAAAAATCAACAAGATCAAATTGATGATTCAAGGGATTCGAAGGGTAAAAAGCCAAGAGCAACCATAAAAGGGTGATACCATAGAACAAAACAAGGTTTTCTTGACAGGCTTACCTAGTCGGCACCTGCCTTATAAGGTCCTACCCAACAAAAGCATGGCCAGCCACCCATATGTCAACATGTTAAGGCATCTGACTGATATTTTCTCAACGCCCATATTGGTTGGTGCCTAAAACTTGCTTGCATCTACTGGGTCCCACCAGGAGCATAGTGGACCAATATTGCGTAGTAATAATTGGTAATAGCTTCATGAAATTTTTCACGATTGTGTACTAACAGATCAATTAGAGCCGGCCAAAGACATGGACAAATGACTTTGTCTGGCCAAGAGAATGCAGAAAAAACTACAGGGCCATGTCAATAGCCATTAAGAAAAAATTTGAACAGGGAATTCATGTGTGGCTGTCAAATAATTAAATGATAATAAATCTCATATGGAAACATCAAATGATTTGCCAAGTAATTTTATAAGTAAATCATTTACAAGCAACAATAGCAACAATGTTCACGTTCGCAAAGCAAATTTGGAGCATTGGTCACTTGTAGTAGATGGACTCGAGAATTTTAGAGGTTGCAACAAAATATTTCATATTAATTTGAATATATATAAATATATATATATCCATATTCAGTTATTTATTTATCATTTTATTGTTGATCAACTGATCGTAGGTTTAATTTGCTGGCCATTATGAATTTAACATATTCTAACAGATTATATGATCTGAAATTTTTTATTCATCTATTAAATTTGGCAATTGAATTGAACTAACTGAGCACCTTTGACTTTCCCAAACAAGCAAAAAACAAAGGAATCCTCTTAAAAATAAAAAAGGGGCTTAACATGCACACACATGCCCATCCAAAATAACTGCAGCCAAAGCACGCACAGCACATCACTCAAATCATCACCACAGCTCACATAGAAAAAGGACCAAAAAATAAGGAAAGATGAGCATACTTCCTCACTCTTCAAATACTTTAAGGCAATGACTCAATTATCATAAAATTAACACGTTAATTCCAATGAACTCATCCACATTAAAAACAATCAATAATAAAGCAAAACGTTTAAGCCCAACCAAAAAAAAAACTGAAAATAAAAAAAATAAAGGAGAAAAAAAGAAAGTGGATGAATATGTAAAACTCTCTGGAGATGATTAATTATCAATAAAATGTTCTTAATTAAATAAGGGTAGAGAAAGAACTTTAAAAATGTAAGAAAAACTGCAGTTGCCTTCTCTAAACAAAAAATCGAGTAAATAAAGGAAGAGTTATGACACAAATGATTTTTAACACAAGTATATATATAGTGTGTAAAGTATAAATTTTCATATAGAAAGAATTAGAAATTTGAGCAAGATTCAAAGTTCATTAAAAATAAGAAAATCAAGCAAGCCATCTAAAGTGTTTCTTCAAAAATATTTTTGGTTCTTAATCGAATCTCACCTTGATCTTCATGCTCGAACTTAATTCAAGGTCGCCTCTGTAAATAGTAACTGGGGAAATGTTTCGAGTCCTAAGAGCCCCAAGCAACGATATTGACCCATCAACATGTATGATTTTAGAAATCGTACTCTTTGAAAATTGATTCAGTAAATCAATATTCTCATCTGCCGCCATCTGTTCAATCAACCCAGCCAACTTAACCCTTACAACTATGCAATCCAATCTCACTCCATGACTTTTCATCAATTGGCCGATGGTATCAACCTGATCTGCCTTAGAGCCTTCATCTGGTTCCTTGACTGGATGTTGTGCGTCGGTTATAAGACAAATGCGATGTTTTCCCTTGTTTGTAGGTCCAAATTTCTTTATCAGCATATCCATCCCGATAACAATAGCATCAAGGACTAACTTGTCAAGGTGGGCAAGATAATAAGCATGGAATTATGTAAAAATTGAAGTTTAGGTGTTAGATATGTAAATACAAAAGAATTGAGTGGTATGTATGTAAACCTTCCATGAAATAATATCATCTGCTACTAGCACAATAATGACAAGGTACTCCATAAGCGTGTTCTCCAAGGTGGTCAAGACATGGAGATGACACGTGTGGGTTAGAATTTTTCATTATGTATTTCCACAGAAATTTAATAAGGGGATATCGTGGAAATAGCTGTGGAAAACCTACTTGTCAAAACAAGGGGTGCAACCTCATTTGGAAATGCGTTGCTTCTACATTGCCTTTCCAAAAGCTGTAATCCATAATTTTTCCATTTTTGTGGAAATACATGATAACAATACCTACGCATTTTTGAAATCCCATCAAAGCTCCAAGGCCATGGAAAGCACTCCGCCGAAGCAGTTTGCATATTTGCAAAGAGTGTTGACATTATATTTCAGCCAGACAACACAACACAACACAACAATATAAACATTTACAGCAAAAGAAAGTACAATATAACACAACATTCTGATGCAAGGCCCAGTTTTTGCTTCATATAGTTGTACAGAGAAAATAAACAAGGTTTTTCTTTGTTCTTGCATGAGGAATGGTGGACGTTATGGTATCAAAAAATGTCAAGAAAGATGTCACAAGGGTTTGTTTGGGATTTTTTTTCTTTTGCTTTCATTTTTAAAAACATGCTTGTTTGGTAAGATTTTTTACATATTTTTTATTTTTAGATTCTAAAAATAAATTAACATACTTTTTAACACTCAAAATAAATATTATGTGTTTTGAGTATTTTTAAAAACAATAATATCGGAATTAAATATGTCAAATATGTTTTGCTTCAAATCAAAAGATAAATAAAATAAAATAAAAAATTGAAAATAAAAAACAAAAGCGACCCCAAAAGGCCTCTAAATGGGTTACCATCAATCATATTCAGATACTTCCACCAAAATAATAACATATAAGACAATAATTCAAACTGCAGGCTTATAAATACAAGTAGATGACACAAATATTTAGAATAAAAAATGTAAAAACCTCGAAGGAAAAACACATAAACAACCAAAAATAATCAAATTTGGATACAATCTCCATTCCGGGTTCCTCTTGGAAGTTCACGCAAAGTGTCCATTATTAAATCATCTACAACTTTGATATCCTGTAAAACCACAACATGCAGATATCCACCCACCTCCTTCTGTAGGTCATTTTTGGTTTCTGACAATTCCAAAAGTATTTTGCAATAATATGGCATAGAATAGAAAGAATGAGAGATGCAAAGTTCTTCAACAAGAGTTTTTTTCCTATTACTATCTATTTGATTTCCCATAATGGGAGGAAGAAGCAGTTGCCATATCTAAAAGTGAGAGCCAAATCTGCAAAAGATGTTTGTTTGTTTAATAAGAAAGTGAAACTTCCTATTTCTTATTGTTTGGTTGTGAAGGAACCATGAAAGCATCTAATAATCCTAGTAAAACTATCGCCCAATGCACATACATGTCAATGTGTACGTTTGTCTTGTAAATATAGAACAAGAAAAATAAGCAAGCACAATTATACACATACCAACATAATTCAAAATTAGAAATAAATAATATTTAATATAAAAATTTCATAAATTATGTAATGTACTTGTACATTATATTCTATAATATGAAAAAGGAAAAAAAAAATATAAATATAGTGTACATATATGAGTTATACATAAAAAAATACATATATTTATATGCATAATACATGTACGTTTGCAGGTGCATACAACATGAAAATAGGCATACAAAGATATGGAATTGGTCAAATATCATGCATTATATTGTTAATTTATATATATATATACATACATACATATATATATATATATATATATATGTTTTAAAAATATATTATTAAAATGCATTATAAAACAATATATTCAACATACTTTCTATATTAATTAAAAATATAGCATAAATATAAGCAATTAATAATAGAATATTATATAGTACATGATAAATTACATACCTTTTTCGGGCTATGAAATTTCATGCCCTGGCCTCTCTCAAGAACAATGAAAGAGTTTTACATGAAGGTTCACGATCAAATTTTCAAAAAGCAAACTAGATTGCATATAAAACGCTACTCGGGATTTCACTTTCATTTTGCGAGAATTTTTAAGATCTGTGGTTCGATTTTTCCCGTAGGCACGAATGATATGGTTAATAAGGCTTAGTCATTAGGTGCTAAGTATTTATACTCTGCATATAATAATGGCAAATTTAAGTTTTAGATTTAGACATTTATCACTGTGAGCCTAGAGCGAATGATATGAGGAAGGATGACAAACCTGATGAAGATCTTAATATTTTGTCGTCCTGGGTTATCATGGACCCTAATTAACTTAGGGTCCGTTTGGGGCAGCTTATTTGGTGCAGTGACGTTTTGAAAACACACTTAACCTGTTTGGGTAAACTGCGTTTTGGCAGCTTATGCGTTTTCAAAACGCTGAAAACAGCGTTTTCACACCGCACCTACCTAGGTGGGATGGCAGCTTTCTGGCAGCGGTCTGGCTTTTCCAAAAAAATAAAAATTCGTAATAGCCACCGCACATAGCTTATTAGCAGATTATTTTTAAACAGCTTATCAGCAGATTATTCAATATGTTGCAGCCGCCCCAAATAGACCCTTAGTCAAAGTAGGTAGTCAACCCAACCTAACTGAAGAATCACTATCAGCAGCCATGAATTGTTTCATATAATAGAATCTTGTAGACATGTGATAGATATTTATACAAAAGGACTAATTTAACTCAATATTAGCTAATAGAGGGTTATGTGTCCTATTGAATATGTTTATTTGATAGGGCAAAAAGTTTTTGGAAAATATATGAGCTATAGTCGTGACTGTAACATAATGATAACAGTTAGCAACAAACCACCTGGTCAGAGGCTATATTCATAATCCCATATCCTGGAGCCGATTGGTCAAACCATGCAAACAAATTACTTGACTCACTTTCTTACTTGCATAGACGAGATTTGTGTGAACATAATAATATATTGATATGATATTGATACTTCTGATCTAGATTTAATCCTAAATGTGTCATTCTCAACAAATTATTGCGGATGGCAGATGAACAAAATTTTATTTTTTTTAACTTTTTATGATTAAATTTAATTTGAACATTTTAGATTTTATGATTTTTTATGGATTTTGTGTATTTTACAATTTTTTTTATTCTAATATATTTTGAAAAAAATACCCCCACTAATTGAGATTCATTTTTAACACAAGCATTTGACTAACCATGAAACATGTTGACTATATTTATGTACAAATGGATCGGGTTCATGTTTTACATTATTTGAATGTATTCAGTTATTCTTTGGCGTTTAATTTTGAAAATAATTTCTCTAATTGAGATTCATAACCAACGCGACCATCATTGAGGATTGATGCTTTTAAACTTTATCGACCTTATCCCGCTTATAGAGAATCGGATTTATTATTGATAGAATTTATTCAAATCTTCTTTGGATTTGATATCGAAAATAAACTCCTCCAATTAAAATTTATAATCAACACAAACATCATAAAAAATTATATGTAAAATGATTGCAGTATTCATGATTGTATTCCAATGGATGCTTATTGATGAATTGTATTAAAATTATTAGTATTGTCAATTATAGTCCTTTTAAAGAGGAAGATCATACTAGTCTGGTGGGGAACCAATCTTGTTTACTCCGGTCCTTATGAGAAGGAGAAGCAAACTAGTCAATGTGGGACTTAAGTCCTTGCCTTATGAGCAGGCAACAAGCTCAAGATTGTGCCTCATTAAGCATTTTGAATTTTGATTTTGAAATGAAAGATTTTAAAAATTTCAAAGTATTTATATACTTTTTCAAAATAATTGCATGTTTCTCAGTACGAATCCAATTTTAGCTTAAACTTACCACAATTTGTATAGCATTCTCAAACCAAACATTCTAGTGTTCAACACGTTAGTTGGAGCACATACGGACATTTTGAATTAATAGATTTTGATGGTTTAAGTTTTTGGCATGCTTATCAAGACTATATAATAAGATTCAACACATTTTAGGTCTGCGTAATATTCTAAAATTATAATTTTGAGCATTCAACACATCCGCGAGCCTTCATTATCCTGTCATACGGTCGAATTTAGGGTTTACACTTTAGATACCATTTAATGCCTTAAGCCAAACAAAATAAATGCAATGGTACTGACTTTAGGTCTCATTGTGATCAAGGAGCGCCTTGGAGTGTTGCAGATGACACTTTTGACAACATGAGTGTGGTGGTCTGCATGGCAACAAAATATAACGATATTTAGGGGTATCTTAAAGCCTAAACCATTTATCCATATTGAAGTGGCCACATGGCATCTCGTAAATGATTGAAGTGAGCAGTGGTAGTTATTGTGGCATCAAGACGTAAAGGAGGATCCTCAAGAATCTGAATAATAAAACTGATCAAATAAAGTGATTATTTTGAGCAAATGAGTCCTATCGGCAAATCTTTGGCAATCTAATTGATATGATCCAAGTTATTAAATTTGAATGCCGCAATTAAAGACAAACAAAAAGTTATTCTCCATTCCAACTGATCAGAGATTAACATAGGTCAATATTCCTTATGTCCGAACAGATCTATTGAACATCACGAAATCGATCTCTTTAGTATCCTATTATAAATCCAATTGGTTAAACTTAGATTTCAAAAAGCTGAGACAAGAACAATGCTAATGAAGTGCTTGGATTGAAGTTTTATACTTCCCCATGACAACACTAAACAGCACACAAGTGCATCTCCTTCCTCCTCAGAATTCTCAAGCTCCTTTGACAATTGCAAACAAAATGGTTAAAGCATGAAGTGTTTACATATTCAATGTGAAACTTTATGAGAGCAAGAGGCAAACACTTGTGAAAAAAAAAGGTAGTGACAGTGGCCTCCAAGCCACCCTCATTTTCTAAGGTGGAGCAAGTAGAAATGTTGCCACCAAAGATGTCTTTGAGTCAGGCTATCAACATAGGTAACTGCCTAACTGGCCACCATGAAGACAAACTCAAACTCCAACATGAAACATCTAGCAAAGATATTAGGTAGATCTCCAAATGTCTTTCAACCATCACCAACTGCAACTCATTCAATCTCGAGTGTTGCAGTGACAAACAAATCATCACTGCAATGGGCTAATGAAGAGATTGATAGCAGAGAGTATAGGTCGACCGGAATGGCAACTCCCCTGGCCCTAGAGATGCATGAGGAATCCATTTGTCTAAATCTATGAATGTCAAACTGCGCCTTTAAATTGAGCAAGACATACGAGGGCTTAGGCATAAGGGTAGGTGACAAGGTGAAAACTTCCCCATACTCAACTTTAGTTGTGATCAACATTGACTCTCCTCCAAGTGATATATGAGATTAGCAGGTCAGGCATGGAGCAACTCCAATCTGACAAAGCAAGACAAATGAAAGTAATTAATATGCCCATCAGGGATTTGTTCCAAATGGTTAAAAAGCAACAAGAAGAAATCTGCACTCTAAAGGCTAACATAGAGAAACGTAACTGAGTAGCAATCTCCTTGGAGTCCCTTCAGCGAGGGTATGGCTAATATTTCAGCCATAAGCAGGTTACATAGAGTGTTAAAAGGCCAGTCTCTCTGACAGTCCATGGCTTTCTGAGGGCCATTATATTCCAAATGGAAGTGCTCTTCTAGAATTCCCAGTCACTGAATTGGAGATATTGAAACGCTGATTGATGCAAAAATACAAGAAATTAAGGAGCCAAATAGGAGGATAATTGGGACCATGTGATGCATGTAACCATGAACAAAATATATTGCAAATACAACACATGTAGTCCACCCTCTAGCCCCAATTGTGGTCACCTCGGTCTCTCAAGCAACCAACGAAGAGATGATGCTTGAAATCCTCACAAATGTGAGGGGTCACCTCTAGCACTAAACTCTATCAAAAAAGGTTGTTTCGGTGATGTTTCATACCGCAATCTAGGAGGTCCAACAATAGATGGCTAGGACTATTTTGGAGTAGATGGCTAACCAAGAACATGGCTTTCACATTGAGAAGAGCAAGTTAGTGTGGAGAAGGCTCCCAAAAATACTACTCAAAGCAAGATGACAAGGAAAATGCACTCATTTGATTGTCCGCTAAGGTTAAGTCAATTTAGTACAATCAAGAAAAAAACCGAAGAG